CACACACACACACACACACACACACACAGCAGGATCTAAATTCTCTGTTGCTTCCAGCCTCACCACAATGCACCATGTGCCGAACACTTTACTCCGCACGGGTCCCAGTGTCACCCACCTCTCCGGCCGTCGTGTGTGAGTTGATGGTGATCTTGCAGGAGCCTCCACCGTGGCAGTGAACGGTGGTGCTCATGTCCTGTCGTGCCACAATGGAGCGGATCTCCTCCTGCGACGGGACGTTCTCCCTGGCTCGAGTCCTTCTCAAGGACTCTAGGGCGAAGGCGGCGTAACGATCCATCTCCGAGCCGGGGAGGAGCTCTCGAGTCCTAGAGAGATGTGGAGATTGTTGGTGCCAAAGATTCAAAAAATTAAGCAAGAATAAGAAACAATACCCACAGATTCATTTCTGAATCCATTTTGGTCACACAAACTGTCCTCATCTGTCTGTGCACATGTCAGTACCTCTTCAGGTGGAACTTGAGGTATCTGAGGATGCTCCTGGTTGGGACGAAGGTGCAGGACATGCAGGCCAGGATCTTCCAGCTGCAGAGGTTACCGGGGCTTCCCGGCTGCGGCGCTCGTGTCGTCTGCTTCACCAGCTGACAGTACAGCTCGTCCCGCAGCTGTTTGAGCTCCTGGCCCGTCTGCAGAATGCCCTGGATGATGGGCACGGGGTCGGCCACCCCCTCCAAGTGCTGCAGAGAGCTGAACACCTTGAGGGCTTCGTCCTGGAGCGTTGTGTAGTTTCTGTGTCGTTGAGCTGAACGGGGGATGAAGGGACGAGGTTAGCGATGGTCATCATGTAGCTGCATGTGCCACGTTTCACCTGAAACTTCTGTCGGTGTCGCTTCAGGCAGTGTCACCAAAATCCATTAGAGTGGGATCCAACTGTTTGTACACTGTGAACTACTTGTTGTCCATATTGTCTAATAAATTCTCTATTAAAATTAATACATCACATTTCAACACATGTTGATCGTGAAAATCGTCTTGACATTCATGGTATGTACATTTCACCTCCTCTTCATGATCCTGTGCTTTTCAGTCCGAAATCTGAATCTGAACCAGATCTGATGGATTTAATTTCAGAGATGTTGGAAGAGAATGGACTTTTGCATTCATTGTCACACGGTTGTGGCCATTTAATGTGTCATAGTTAGTGGATGAAACCGATCTTTCTTAATATATATTTAGATGAGGAGGAAAATGCCAATAATCCTCTGTGTTGGAGTCTTCATGAGGTGACTGACACCAGTATTTGCAGATATTTGAGTGATCCAGGAAGCCGGTTCCTCCGCCCTGACTCTTCTCTGTAACTGTGACTCACCGGTGACGTGGATGTCTCCATAGGGCAGCGGCAGCAGAGGCGAGTGCAGCGGGTGGTGGCTGTAGCGAAGGATGGGGTTCCTCTTGTAGATCTGCTCCACCACCTCTGAGTTCAGACAGTTCTCCTGCAGAGAGCAGAGCAGTTTTCAGAGCCTGAATTTCAGAGTCAGCGTCTGAGCACACTGTTAGTTTCATCTGAATCAACATGAGTGTGACTGTATCTTGTTCACTTGTGATTTGTTAACAGTCTTTAGAATGATCCTACATTATCCCACATTGGAAAAAACAAATCTATATCTTCGTTCATCGAGTCTCCATCAGCGTTCTGCCGAGGAGCTTCCTACCTTGATGTCCTGGATGAGCTGCTGTGTCGGCGTGTCGATGGGAGCTTTGGTGTCAATGACGTTCTGGATGGCGTTGGCCCAGCGCGTGGCCTCGCTCAGCAGCTTGCAGTAGAGACGGTACGAGTGTTTGCGGCCGTACACGATCACGCTCAAGTATCCTGAGAGGAAGCGACGAAATGCGAGAGAGGGATGATTAAACAACACATCAGATCCGACCTGATTCTGCCTGCGACTCTTCCATTTCTTACCGGTCTCTTTGAACACCTTCTCGTCCGGCTGAACCACGGAGCAGAGGCTGTTCAGCACCAGCGTTCCCAGCTTCAGGGCGTTGCGCTCAGAGCTCTTATAGTAGTCCAGGGAATTGTGGGTGAGCAGGAACCAGCGCTTCTTCAGTTTCAGGGACACTTTGGTGCTGTTCTTCATCTCTTTGTGCAACCAGCCTGGGGGGAGAAAAGGAGTCACATGAGGATGCTTCTTTTTCTTCTCTGTCAGAGAATGTCAAAAGCTAAAAGTGATTCCCCCATCACCTCGGATGATGAACTCCTGCCCGTCCACTCGGGTGTCTCCTTTGGAGCGCTGCAGCAGCGTGATCCAGTGGTGCATCTCCTCGGGCGTGTCGGCGTTGCAGTGTAGCACGCGGTTGGCTGTGATCATGACAAAGGAGTTTGACCTGTGAAGGTGGAGAAAGGATGGTGAGAATAAAATCAGAGACCTGGTATTAACATCCATCTTGAGACCTCTGTTCACCAGTCGACCACTTGTGATCGGATCTCACTTCCTGCTCTTTGTGCAATAAACATGGACGTGATTTGAGTTTGACCAAATGTTTTCTCCCACTGTGACACAGATGTGTACGATGGCAATGTGTGTGTGTGCGTGTGTGGCTGTTGATACCAGGCCTGAACGGGGTCTTAGATTTTACAGCAGCTTTTATTTTCGGCTGCACAGTGAAACTTTGTTGTTGCATTTTGACCATGAAACTAAAAGTGGACTTAAATAATGGCAGCAGCAAACGCTGTATCTGGCTGACACTTTTCAGATGATGCACGGAAAACTTCAAGACATACGATGATTCGATGTCGGTCCTCACCTCTCTGGATTATCTGACGCACAAACTGAATCGATCATCCCCACATCCAACGTCCCCTGAAGAGAGAGCGAGAGAGAGCGAGAGAGAGAGAGTTTCAGAAACAGTGATGGTTCGAATGGTTTTTGGATTTGTAATACTGAATATTTGCTATCATTTGTAAAATATGCTTATTTCATTCGAGAATATTTGCTTAAATATAATATTTATTTTATTTCTCAACATGAAACCACCCGGGGCCGGTGCTCACCACAGCATTCTGGGGGTTGGCCTGCTCGTCGTGCATCTCTCTGATCTCCTGCTCTGTGGAGCCGTGGACCTGACTCAGCACGCTGAACCACTGGCTGTAACCATGGAGACAACAATGACAGTCATCATGAACATGACCTATTAAGCCTGGCTTTTGTTCGGGAGGCACAACAAACACGCGACCTACCTGGCGTCCTCAGCAGACTCTGCGATCAGGTGGTAGGTCCTGTCCGGCATCACGATGTCGATTCCGTTCTCCTTACCGGTGTTATCAATGATTTCTCTGCACGTCACAAAAAACACTCATGACCACAGTTTCTTCTCGGAGAAGGTGTTCAGCACTGCTAATTATCAATAATGCTAATAATAAAGAACAAGATCAGAAGGTATGACATCAATGAACATCATGAACTTTGATGACATCTTACTTGGCATTGTGCATGTCCATCACGCCCTTCATCTTGTCCTCGCTGTCGTTCTCAAAGTACATGAGCTTGCTCTGCCGCAGCACGAACCAGCGGCGCTTCCAGTTGCGACGGGACAGTGTCGATGAGCCTCCTCCCTTCTTGTGCAGCCAGCCCTGTTTCAGAGCCTCCTGCTTGGCCCGAAACCACAGGAAGGTCTCGTCCTTCAGAACGCACCAGCGCCGCTTCCACGTGTTCATCAGACCGCCTTTCAGACGAAAACATGAGGATGTAACGATTACCACAAACAAGGACAAACTGTCCGTCTGAGGGGGAGTGTGACGTGATGACAGAGTTACCTTTGATGAAGAGGAAGCTGTGGAAGTATGGGAGCGTGACGCAGCTGTAGACGGAGTCCCGCCGGTACGACAGCTCGTCATCGGTGTCGAACCTGTCGAAGTCGTCCTCGCTGTCCTCAAACTGGAATGAATCACAACAAATACACTGAATGAGGTCGTTGTACTGCAGTGGATTTGCTTCTTTTTCTAATTGATTCCAATGGGTTTGAAACATTCTGACGGATTTGAGCTGAGAAACGCAACGATTTATCTCTGCAACGATTTATCTCTGCAACAACAAGGTCTGTTTGAATAATCAGGGAATCTATGCAAAGCTCAAACTTGTGTAGATGTTCCTGAGTCAGATTAAATGAAGAAACACAACAAAATTTAGATTTTAGAGTGAACATCTTCTACGTAGTGCTGCCTCATGACGTGTGAGCTGCCAGTGGCACAACGTGAGATATGCAGGACGACGTCTCAGCAGCACGTTGGTCAATCTGGGTTCTGTCTGTTTCATGGAAACAGTTTTTATGTAATCCTGCTGATGACAACCCGGAGAGAACATATCGAGGATACTCACTGATGACTGAGCTCCCTCCGAGCTGAAGCGGTAAGCCCCAGAGCTGTTGTAGGTGCCAACAGAGCCGCGGTAGTCAGGAGACCACTGCCCGCTGCGAGGGTTGGAGAACGCCACACTGCCACTTGACACGATGGCTCCCTCATCGTAGTCATCCTGGTCGTAGTCTGAATCCTCATCTGGTGGTATGAGCTCCACCAGGTCATCGGACTGAGCCTCGGATGAAGCCTGGGGATGGCAGAAGGCCGAGTCCCCGCTGGACGAGGCACTGTGGCAGGCGGGCGGCACAGGCGGTAAAGGCAGCGGCTGGTGAAGAAGAGTGGTTGGCGGCAGTGGTGGGATGACGCCATCATTGGCATACGGGTCTTCTTCAGAGGAGTCATCACTTGTTCGGATCCCACTGGTTCGCTGGCCGTCTGAGTGGCCGTGCTCACTGGGGTTTGGAGAGTCTTTAAAGGCCTCGTCGTCGGCCTCAAATCCTTCGTCGACCTCCTCTTCGTCACTGCCTCTCCTCCGTCCACTGTCCTTCTCGTTTTCGTCCACCTCCCCGACTCCCAAGGAGCTCTCGATGTTCCTCACACACTCGTCGATCTCATCAAAGTTCAGCGAGTCTAAGAACTGCTGCGCCGCCTTGCAGGCTTCGTCCTCCAGCCGCCTGAGCTCCTGGTCGCGGAGCAGCTGCAGGCGGTTCAGGGAGGCCTCCGTCAGGGAGAGCTCCTGACGCTCCTTCTGCCTCTGCAGCGCCTGGATCTCCCGCTCCAGTCGTAGGATCTCCTCCACCTGAGATGCTTCATGGGGACGAATTGTCTCCTCAAAGGTCTCGGCTGACTCCAGCTCCTCGAGAGCGTCTGCTGATGTTGCCGCTGCCATGGACGGAGACTGAGCTGAAACCAGAGAGGCCAACTCCTCAGCACGATGCAGCTCCTCCAGCCTTCTGGTCTCCTCAGCCTGAGGACGGAAAAGAAAGTGGTGTTACAAAAAGACTGTTTCAGAAATCTTAATACAAAAATCTAAGAATTTCATGTGTCACTTTTTATTACTTCCTTCTGGCATCTTTTCTTTTCAAGACTGATTTCTACAAAATTCTTGAAAAGTAGATTTTTATAAAATTCTGTGAAAGGACCTGAGACACACCTCAGGAACATCACTGAGGAAGTGGCCCGTGTGTCTTTTAATCGAAGACATTGGGAGATTGTTGATTGTTTTTTTTTTTAAACGAAGACGACTTCTCGAGCCAAATTTGAGATAAAACTGAGATTTGGGTCGTCCACTCTTTTTCACTTAGATGAATTTCTTGATAATTGGTTTCATCGTACCTCTCTGGCAAGTCTCTCAGCCTCCAGCCTCAGTCTCTCCCTGCAGACAAACAGTGAGACATTCAAAATCATCATTATTTAACTTAGTAAATCCACCAAGACAACAAAAACAGTAGGTACCATTCCACACCAGATTAAATAAACCTCACACCACGGCCATGTGCTCAGCAATGAGGAGCTTTTGAAGCAGAAAATATACAGATCTTTAAAAGTACAGAATAGATATGAAGTAAAATGTATGAAATCCTGCCTACAGCCCTGCCCTCCTTGGATTTTATCTCTGCAATCATTTCTGTAGGTGGTGTCTCTGCCTCATTAATCCTCATCGCTGTTCATCCCGACTACGCACTCGTTATTACTAGTACAGAGCTACAGCAGCAGACGATCAGTATGCAGAGCAGCAAACACCAGACGAAGGATTTAGATGACGAGCCCACCTCTCCATCTCCTCCTCTGCCCTCCTGCGGCGCTCCTCTTCCTCCTCCTCCCTCCTCCTCCTCTCCTGCAGCAGCTGGCTGTAGGCCCGGCGGGCCAGCTGACCTCTCAGACATTTCTGGAAGGTGAGCGTAGCCCGGCGGAGGAGCAGAAACTTCCTCCTCCAGTAGAAAGCCCGGTAGTTCTTCTGAATGACCACGATGCACTGCAGCAGCTTCCTGTACTGCTTCCTGTGTGTGGAGCAGCATCGACGCACATTAATGAACGAAGGGAACTTTCGGTTACGGTTTCTCAGCAGCTTTGTGACGTCGAGTTTCTAAAGGCAGAGTCGTACCTGGCCATGTAGCCCATGACATGAGCCTGGATGATCATGGCTGCTTTCAGCACCTCCACCTCCCTCTGCTTCTCCAGACGATGCTCCAGAGACTCCCGAAGAAAGACCTGAGAGACGAGGAGAGGAGAGGGAGGGGAAATAAATATCTAACGTCAATAAGATCAATAACACGACAATTTAGATTTAACTTTGACCTGGATGGTTTAAACATGGCGTCCATCTTTATTTACAGTCTGTGGTTTGACTCGTGTTGTCAAATATGCTGTCTCAAAGCCCACAGTGAGATTTTGAATTCCATTTTTTTTTAAATCTAGTTTTATAAAAGTGGAAAATGGATGAATGCTGCAGAGAGGAGTTAACACAGAGGACGGAGGGATACAGCCGCTACTTAACATCATGCATTCATTATATTCACTATATTACACACACATTATGAATAAAAGGTTTACAAGTGAACAGGATTAAAAAGAGGAGGCCCGCTCCTTTTTTCTGTAACATCACCATTTAACAGACACCCCCATCCAGGAGAACAAGTGAGTGAACAAAGCTGCCGACGTAAATCAAATCCAGATCCTCCTCCTCTTTTGTTCACGCTGCACAGATTACTGCAGCGAGTGATTTCAGGACATCTCTCTGTGAAAAGACCCATCTCACAGGCACTCAGTGCAGCCGCCCGCTGTCGGAGCCAAGCTGCCGTCCATTGATAGAGAAACGGGGCCCACCGAGGGACGCCGGGGGTTAATCCGATTAGGGAGGGAGGGAAATTAGATATGGGACGGTGGGGAAATGTCACAGTGCTACGGGGTACAGGATACAGATTGCCTTTCTCCTGTTGAATAATGTAGTGTGTGTGTG